GGGGGTGCGAGGGTGTGCGAGAGGACTGGCTGCCTCGGCTGCCGCTGCATACAGGGCAGTTTTTGATACACAGGATGTTTAAAAATATGGGATTTTTAATACATGATCAATCTGTGAACAAGTGGCACGCATGAACTCATCATTGCTTTTAATACTAAATCCCTGCATTTTTTCTTACATGATCCGCACGCGGAGCATGTACTAAAAATGGCACTGTAAGGAGTGACCCCAGGCAAGTGGTGACCTCTGGCGCGCGCGGGCCCACTTCGCGCCGGCGCTGGGGTGGCCCCTGTGGGCCCACGCCAGAGGTCGCTCCGGCGAAGGGCCACTTATGGGTGGCCAGCTGTCGCCCTCCCCCAGTTTGCCTCCTCCCAGGGGTCGCGCGGGAGGGTGTCCCCCGACTGCTGGAACGTGCTCGTCCCGCGCTCGAGCGCCGTCACTCGTCTCTTCTGGCGAGAGTGGAGAGGAGCGGGCGGCGAACGCGAGGCGTCTCGCATCCGCCGGACCCCTTTGCCAGGGGTGAGAAGGCGTGTGAATTGATTTGAGACTGTTTTTTTCTGAATCGGCGATACCCCGGGTTATCCCGGGGGGGGGGAGGGGGCCAGCCGATAACCTAACCCTCGCGCTGGGGGCAGCCCTGCTTGTGCCCGCGCCCCCCCTCCCGCGGACCTGCACGACCGGCAAGGTTAGCTTCTCCTGGGGGGGTGGAGGGGGGGGGGCAAGCCCGCTGACCCGGGCTATCGCCCGACCCTGACAAAAACCAGTCTCTTGGCCCTCACCCTCCCGCTTTTCGCCTTCCCCCCGGGTCCAAGATCTTTTTTGGGCGGGGGGGGGGGAGGGCCAGACCCCCGGGTCCTCCGAAGACACCGCCCGCCCAGGGCCTCCGTGGGGCTCGTCCTGGGCCGCCAGAGAAGACTCTTCTCTGGCGGCCCAGGACGAGCCCCAACACGCCGGGGGAGCCCCGGGAACGCCGGGAGGTGCCTCCGAGATGGCCCAGGGAGCCCCCAAAAAACGCCCCAGGGGGGCCCACACAGAGCCCCATGGGAGAACCTCTGGGCACGCGCGGGCGCTTCGAGCGAGAAAGAGCCTGCACAGACTTCATCTTCCAGAGGTCCACGCGGACCTCTTGGCTCAGCACCAGACGCGCCTCCCCGGCGCGCGAGAGCGCGCCACGGGCGGCACCGGGGGCGACGCCAGGTGGGCAAGGGGCCGATCCAAGAAATCCGCGCGGAGCTCCGAAAGCTGTATGCCTCTGGCGTTTCGGATCGTTCTGCTTCGGTGGCTTCTCGCCCCTCCTCGGCGGCGAGCGAGGGGGGGAAGTGAGGGGGAGGAGGCCTTCTCGGAAGGCTCGGAGGTCCCCCAGCCTCCCGAGAGAATGTTGTTCGAAGCCTTCCGCGCAGGCAGCAAAAAAAGGCGCGAGGGGCTCTGCGACGTCCCGCCGCCTTCTGAGAAGGCCTTGTCCATTTTCGGTGACCCAAAAGGGGGTCCAGCTGCAAGGGGGTGGTGCAATAGATTTGGGGCAATTGTCTTGCAAATGCATTGCGCCAGAGAATTGTATTGCATTGTATTGCAACTGATGGTTTGCACGCGAAAATCCAGCAACAAATCCGCGCCCCGGAATGTATCGCACGCCCCAGATGTATTGCAACCCCACAAATATTGCACCAAATCTATTGCACCACCCTTTTTTGGAGGCCTGGAAATGGGCACCAACACCAACACAGGGGGCATGATCCTAGATTTCGGCGTTGGTGGTGATATTTCGGTCACCTTGGAAACCAGAACATTACCACCATCACCGAGATCGGGATCGTCTTCCCTCGGTGGAGGCACGCCGCCGATCTTGGTGTTGGTGTCAACCTCGAGGCCTGCGACTCTTGGGTCCGCCCGATCCTGCTCGCTTCCCCCAGCCCCCCTCGCTCGGCGCCCACCTCCCGCCGCCGCGCCACGACACGGCCTGGCCGCCGCGGGCCCCGCCCAGCTCCTCGTCGAGGGCCGCCTGCTGGCGCTGCGCCTCTCGCCGCGCCTGCCTCTCCGCGCCCAGCGAGTACAGCTGCTCGTGGCGGCGAGGGCGCTCTCCTCCCCAGGGGGAGGGAGGAGGAGGAGGAGGAGGAGGGGGAGGAGGAGGAGCAGGAGGAGGAGGAGGAGGGGAGGAGGAGGGAGGAGGAGGAGGAGGAGGAGGAGGGGAGGAGGAGGGAGGAGGAGGGGGAGGAGGAGGAGGAGGAGAGGAGGAGGAGGAGGAGGAGGAGGAGGAGGAGGAGGAGGAGGAGGAGGAGGAGGGGGTGCCCAGGAGGAGCCACGAGCCCAGGTCGCCGACGATCCGAGGCTTCTTCCATCGCCCGCGGTTCGCCTCGAGGTCGGCGCCTCCGGGGCCAGGCATCGGCCCGGGGTGCCCTCGACAACGGATCCAGGACGAACACCTGACCCAGGGGAAGCGGTCGGAAACTCTGGGGCCGCGGATCTTCCCGTCCCGTCCGACAAATGCGAAAGGAATGTTTTA